TGGCGGGGTCTTCCCTCGTGGCAGTGGACGCGGAGGACGAGGCCGAGGCGGGAGTGGTGCGGGGGCCCCCAGCGGGCCCCCTGTCGCGTAGGTGTCAGCGCGCCTTATTGGGTGTCGGTCTTTCGTGGTAGCTATATGGAACGCTCTGATGTTTGTAGCCGTCATCCGGACAATCTGATGTTACCACGTTTGTAATATGTAACAATTGCTGATCCTCTTCGGTGTCACTCCGCAACAGACCTCTGGTTCTCGAGGGGCCACAGCCCGTCGTTGGGCTACCCTCGCCTGCCGGCCCTCCGGTCGTTCCCTTTACGCCGAGAGCTAGGCGACGTATAGTGGCTTCCTCGCCCCCTTCTCGACGCCGGTCGGCCGTCGCGGATGTGACTGCGCCGGCTCCTCTCTCTACCCTTCCAGCGCCGACACCCCCGGCAGCTCCTGGCCCAACGCCGCTCCCGGTCCACGCTCCGCTCGGGCTCGACATCCCCTTGTTGGCTCCCGCGGGTTCCGAGGATGGGGAAACCAGCTTTCCCCCCTTTGATCTTCAAATCCCCCCAGCGGACGAGTTGCACAGTCCCTCGTCTGACTCCGCCGCGCGGCTCCCCGTCTCGTCGATGGAGTTTAGGCTGCCCATGCCCCGGCGGGGCCCTGTCGGCACGGTCTCAATGCATAGTTCCTATCTTGCACGGGCTCTTCGCCTCATGCAGGATTTGCAGTGCCGGGACGCGTCGGCCTGCCGTGATGTTCCGGCGACGGTAGCCGAGCTGAAGTCGGTGTTGCTGGATGACTCTCAGTTTGTAGCAGGGAATTGGCACCACTTTGCCGAGCTGTGGGCCCAGTACCTTCGCAACATCCCTCGTTGGCCTCAACGGCCTAAGGTTATGGCCTGGTTGCGCCACGGCTACGCGATTGACTGGGTCGACCCCGAGTCGCATTGCCAGCAGTTGCACCCGCACTTCAAGGCTAAGCGCCAGGAGGTGCGCGCTATGCTCGCCAAGGTGCTCCCTAAGGACCAGCTCCTCGGTCACCTGACGGGTACGCGTCCTAGCTTCGTGGTGTTTCCAAACAGGACATCCGCCATGACCCATGAGGAGTTCACCGACAGCGCCATCCGCAGCCTCGTCGAAACGGGCATGGCGGTGTTGTTCGATCCCACCCTCCATGCTTCGGTCCAGGTGGTCAACCCACTTGCTGTGGTCACCCACCGCACCAAGATGCGACTGGTGATTGACTTGCGGTACATGAACTCTTTTGTCAGGTATGAACCCGTACGCTATGAACAGCTCTCCGACGTGTTAGCATTCGCTCATCGCGGGTGCTACGCCATAGTGACGGACCTGAAATCCGGGTACCATCACCTGCGTATGCGCCGCTGCGACTGGCCATTCCTCGCGGTCCATTGGAAGGGTCGTACTTTGCTTTTGACCCATCTCCCCTTCGGGTTGGCGTCTGCGTGCGCGGCCTTTACTCACATTCAGGCCGCGTTTTACCGGCCCCTGCGCCATTATGGTTCGTTGATGGCTTTCCTCATAGACGACCGATACGGAGCGGCGGCCAGCCCGCAACTCTGTATGCTCGACGGTCTGATCTTGGCCCTTGTCGGCACAGCCCTGGGGACTTTCTTTTCATCAAAGAAAGCCGACTGGGTGCCGAAACAGACGCAGTGCTTCCTCGGCTTGGAAGTCGACTCCGGCGTGGGTGCTTTCCGCATTCCGGCTGATAAGCGCACTTACTTTCTCTCGGTTGTGGATGTCCTGCTAGCCGGCGACCGCGTTACTTCCCGTCAGTTGGCTCACATTGCGGGACTAATCGTCTCTATGAGCATGGCCATGAATCTGTGCCCAGCTTTCACTCGGCGTTTATTCGCCGCCTTGGTGGGGACAGAGTCTTGGGACGACCTTTTCCCTACTCCCCAGGAGGTGCGGGATGAGCTCGAGTGGTGGCGGGACAACTTCCACAGGGTCGAGGGTCGTAGCTGGCCCAGCGCCCGCGAAATGACTGTCGCGGTTGGCGATGCCTCGGAAACTCACGTTGGAGCGTTTTTTCCTGGGGGGGCTATTCCTTACCCCCTTCAGGTGGAGCTCCCCTCGCATCTCATCGGTGCTAGCTCCACAGCTCGAGAGCTGTTCGCCGTACACTCGGTTTTGCGCACATTGATCGTGTGTGCCCCGGGCATGGTGAAGGCACATCGCCTTTTATATCACACTGACAGTTAAGCGAGCAAGTATTGCATCGACCGCCAGAAGGGCGTCAATGAATGTCTCCCCCTCGTGCGGGCAATACACCTGTTAGCCTGGGAGCACGATGTGGAGCTCGAGCTCGTTTGGTCGAACAGGGAAGACCCTTGGCAGGCTCAGGCAGACTTCTTCAGTAAGCCTGACGACCCCCATGACTGGGGTTTTAAGCCCGAGGCGGTCGCATGGATCTGCCACCAGTTGGCTCTCGATCCCACCTCTATTTGCCTCGATGTGTTTGTGACCGCCTCCACGGCAGTCTGCGAACGTTATTTTTTGCGATATTTTGATGGTCGGTCAGCGGGGGTCGACGCTTTCTCTCACGATTGGCGCCCGCCGTGCGGCTATGCGTGGGTCAACCCCCCGCCGCGTTTGGCCGGTCGGGCGCTTCAGCGCCTCACGCAATATTGGTCTCCCGCCATAGTCGTGCTGCCCGCCGCCTGTCGTGCGTGGGAACCGCTCATCGCGGCCCTCCCGGGCCTTCGCGGTCCTTTGGTGATGCCCCGTGCTCTCACCTGGCACGGTCAGGCGATCAGCCCGTGGTTCGTTTGGGGTACGGGGGCGGCAGGTTCGTCGAAGCCCTCCGGCTGGTATCCGTGGGTACGAGTCTTTGTATCCCAACCTGATTGTTAAAGGTGTCCTGTGACATTTCGGATATTTGTCTCGGCCTCACGGCCTTTCCCCAGCGGATAGCCGGGCTTCGAGCTCGGGGGGCGGTCCATCCCACACCCGCCACTGGTTCCGTTCTGTCCCTTCGGGCCGCTCTGGCTCACGCGTTCGGGCCTTCACCCTGCGTGCGGCTTGCACCTGCCGATGCCAGTGCCGCCCTCGGTCCACATACCGCTCCACGGTGGTTATTGAGCGTAGCAGTGTCTGGCTGGCCACGTCGGCCATCGACATCCCGAGCTCGTGATGCCTATGCTGCAGGCTCCCCCGTTTGCTGCTGTAGTAAGTCAGCGTTTCCGGCGCATTGACCCGCTGGGCCCAATACCGCATAATGCGGGTAGCCTCCATCGCCTCTACCGACCGGTTCTGGGGCCTGCATCACTGATCCCAGGCGGGCAGTAGTACCTGAACGTCCCCGCGCCCATGCTGGCGGAGCCAGTCTCCCATGAGGTTGAACCAGTACAGGAACCCCAGTTCCTGGTGACGGTCTATCTCCACCCGTCCGGGCCGGAATTCGGTGGTGGTCTTCAGCGACCATACGTCTAATAACACTGCCCCTTCCACGGGGCGCGTCCCTATACTCGCCGCCCATATCGGGTGGCCCCATTCATCCACTATCATGTCCCGCGTGTACGGCCCCAACTGCGGTTTCACTCGCTGGCCGGTTTCCCATAAGAAGGTTAGCAACATGGCGTCACGCAGTACACGACCCCTTACAACGGGGTCGCCTTCCCTCGCGAGCTCTTGTTGGCACGCTCGCACCATCCGTCGATACCATTCTACGCGCAATGGCTCCGCACTACTTTCTCCTACCCCTTGCACTTGCTGCGCGGCCCGGTAGGCTTTCTTCCACGCTCGGACACAGTCGGATCTACACGGATTCCCGCTCCCGTCCTCGCTGCGCCAGTCGCCCTCTCGTCCGCTTCGGCAGAACCAACTACTCAGGTGGCTCACTTCCTTTTCCATGGTATTGAAATGCCACACCCTCTGTCCACTCTCGGTATGGGTTCGTACACGCCCCTGCCGCTTCTGGGAGAACCATTCCAAAAAGGTGATGACATCCTCCGGCTGGGGCGGGCCTACTTGCCACTCGGCCGGCCGCCGGGCCCACCACCCCACGAACTCTCGTTCGATCAGTTGTTTCCGTTGAGGCAATCTCTTCTCCGCGACTTGCTCCACCCGTGCTCTATGCGCCTCTCGCACGGCTCGGTACTGCCTATTCAGCTCCTTTACCGTCCATTCCTCCCCTCGGACAGCCGCGACGGGCCCTCCGAGCACCTCGTCCCAGGTCTCCTGCACCTCCTACACCCGTAGGCCACTTTTAGTCAGTCCGCATACGGCAATTGCCTTTGCAGCCCACAATTGGGCCGAACGGTTGGGTATGCCTGGAAACGGCCCTCTCGCCTCCCTCGGGAGGAAAATGGCAAATTAGGGTATGCATGGCTAGGCGCTCAAGCATAGCGCCAAAGCAGGAATCGCAACCGTTAAGGAATGCCAGAGGGCCATTGACGATCGAAACACGAGGCATATGCCCCTCTCCGTTCCGGGCGGGGGCGGACCATGAGGCCCGCCCCCGGATCGGGGCATTTGGCAAACCGTTAGGACGTGAGTGGACGCTACTCAAGACAGAAGCGAACGGGAAGCGTGCGGATGACCGAATGGGAATCGGACGTAGGAAGGTAGCAGCACCGTAGTAGGACGAGAGGATACGGAGCAAGACAATTTACGGTTAAACGGTCATTTGTTAAGATACACTCATACTCGAGGCGACGACGACGGTGCATCACGTACAGTCTCGTTGTAAGACTGCCTTCAGAGCAACGTGCACGGTCCTCTGACGTTGCATCGGCACTTTTCCAAGCGACTGTTAACCACCACGGCAGCAAGGGCGTCCTTCTTGTGGTCGTTGTTACAACAGCCGCGTGCTGTCGGTGCTCCCAACACCGGGCTGCCCGCGCACCCCTATCAACATGGGTCCTAAAACCTCTACTATCTCCCACCGCATTAGGGACTGGCCAGGCCGCACGTGCCGCGTGGGCTACAAAATCCCCGCCCAGATATGGTTCCCTGCCAGCAGAGCAGCCCGCAACAGCGCTCTCCGAGATGGCCCCGGACGGCGAGGCGCCGAAAGGCGCGGGGGGGGCCGGCCAGGGGGCACCGCCAGGGGCCCGTGAAGGGTCGCAGGATCTGCGGCAGGCGCTCGTTCAGGAGGCCGTCGCGTTCATGGCGCACCCCAGGGTGCGTGGGCGCGCGCGTCTGGTGCCCGCGCTGATCGGCGGGACCCCTGCGCGAAAGAGCTCGGCTGAGTTCCCCGTGCACAATCCCGCAGGTCCGAGATGCCGGCGCGGGGATCAAGAGGATGCTGCTCCTGGGCGAGGGGCTGACTGTGCCGGAGGTGGACGAGGCCTTCGACAGGATTAGGGCATTCGGGGCGGCCCTGATACCTCCCAAGCCCCTGGGGGCGGCGGCTGTCCGCAGCCACGTGTCCGAGACGGCCAGCGCCATCGCCGCCAGCGCGCAGCTCCACGGTGGGCGCCCGCACCTGTCCGCGCCCCAGCCACGGGACGCGGGGGCCCACAGGGAGGACGACGGTTGGGCACAGGTGCGCGCCGCTTGGCCATTGGCGCGCCGATTTCGCAAATGTGCGACGCACGGCGGGGCAGGCTTGCCGCGGCGAGGGCCTACGAGCGAGTGCGGCATCCCGGGGCGTCGTTTGCTCTTTCCCTTTTGCCGCAGATGCGTGTGCCTGTCGAGGGATTCTCTGGGAAGCGCCCGGGGACGCCTGCCAGTCGGGGATGCCTGCCAGTCGGGGATGCCCGATCTTGGTTGCTCTGAGGGCTTGAGCACGGGTCGCCCTGGCAGTGGCCGTGCGGTGTGCTGACGCCGCGGCTGTTGCCTTGGTGGGATGTCAGACGTCCATGGGCTTGGGTGTTGCCGCTGCCGGCGTGCTGGCTCTGGGTCAGGCGCTCGAGCTGCTGTGGCCGGCTGCGAAGGCCAGGACGGCGGGGCTGGGCCAGTCCGTGCAGAAGCTGCAGCGCGATACGAAGGCGGCCGTTGAGGACGTGCAGGCGATTTGCGCGGACGTCAAAAACCGCACTGGAGCTATCGAGGAGACGTTCAAGGGCGTTGAGCGCGACGTGCAGGCGTTGGCCGGCAGGCTTGAGAGGTGACCTGACCGCATGCGAGGGCAGTCCTGCCTATCGGCGTCCTCCGCTTTGGCGTCCATTGTGGAGTTGAAACTTGTATTCTGGCAGCGGGCTCCCTTGATGCATCGCCTGGATGTGCTGCAGTTTCGCAGCGTCTTCAGAACCGCACCTGTTTATGTGCTTGACAGAATGCCCCCAAAACCTGCACCCAATCCTCCGGACCAGACGATTGGGGGTCGGAAACTGCACCATATCCGAAATATTGGATTGAGGAGGATTGATGCAAGCATTCATGCCAGCAACAACTGGGGCTGGTGTATGGCAATACTCTAGAGTTGTTGAGCGCATCGAAAATTCCAGCTGCTGTCCTACATATGCACAGCTGGCTGCAGTGCTTATATCCCGTTTTACGACAAACCTCTTCAATCCCACATCGTGTCTGCCCTGCTAGATCCATATGCTTTTCAGTCCTGCTTGCTGCCTCAGAAAGACTGTCCTACTGTGTTGAGATGCAGTGGTACATCATGAGCAGGATAAGCTTATTTGTTTGTAGACATGAGTACTGTTGGCATGAGTCCAAATGCTGTGCAAGTGACTGAGTAACTTGCGCTCAAGCAGAGGCTCTTTGACGTGCCGTATTGGGGATGGACAGATACGCCAACAACAGGTGCCCACATGACCATTGACACGCGATAGGAGGTGAGAATGAGCTTCAAATTTCCAGGGAGTGAATCTGATTGTTTGCCAATCATCTCTTGCTTCATGCAGGATCCTGTCTGATCAAGAGCCAAGGAAGGAGAGCGATCGATTATGTGAGCCTATCCAGATGTCGTTGTTACCCTCACTAGGTAAGATATAGTTGCACACAGTTGCGAAAGGCATGCTGATTCTTGCTTTGAGTGCATAATTGAAAAAGCCAGCATATTTTGCAGCCGTTGACCCTGCACTCTGTGCGCAACATCACCTCGTGCTCAGATTGTTTCAGGAATGCTGGCTGTTGTCCTTGGTGCCATGGGATACTGTTTGGGAACAAGTGTTTACAACACCAACGTTGGCGTTTCCTGTGTGCAGCACCTCAACAAGAACATGGAGAACTCGACAGTGTGGAGGTATGAAGGAACCTGCAGATGTTTGGTGCACATTATGGGGAGGGGGGGGGGGGGAAAGAGGGGCCGCTGAGGTTGAATATGCCAAGTTGATAGTCTCCGCATTCTGCTGTGGATTGGACAGAACTTGGACCACACCTGTGGCAGGATTTAGTATGTGCCTCCAAATGCTCTAGGAATATGCTGCTGCAGAAGAGCTGTCCGGATGGAGGGCTGAGAGCCCCTTTGGCCCTGAACCTGAGCATGTCTTGGAAGCGAACATAGTTTCCTGACAGATCTCTTCTGTCCTATTGCGGGCAGGTGCCAGACGCCGATCTCTTTGACAAGTGACAGGCAGACTGTGGAGGGCGGGATCCTCACTGGTGCTGCTGTTGCTGCAGCATGAAATGTCCATGCACACCCGCGCAACATGGTTTTCCTTTCTTCAGAACACTGGGTTGAATGGATCTTCCAAGCGGCGGCCACAACAGTCTGGGTGCCGTAGTTACATCAGCAAAGGAGCAAAGCTGGGTGTTTGTGGTGCAGCTGCCCAGAAACGTGTGGATATTCAACACTACCGTCTAATCTTAGGGACAGGACAGATCCTGTGAAGCAGCAAAATGCCTGCCCATGTTACGATTATGGCGGCTGCAGGGCAGGGCAGAATGCAGACCCGTGCAGGCAGTACGCCAGGTGCACAAAGATTCTTCGGTGAAAGCCAAACCCAACTGGCCCATGTTCGAGGTGCATTCAGGGCCATATGCTTAGTAGTGGGTGGGTGCCAGCGTGCTTGATAATGTGGGAGACGAGGCTGTAAGCTATAGCGGCCTTTAGGTAGAGTCGCTGCTGTCCACAATGGGATGACTGATGTTGGGTTAAGGATGTTTCGTCTTCTCTTGTTCTTTTTGCTTGATTCTATGATTGATTCGGTTGAGCGCCGGCCTTGTACATGTACGGAGCAATCTAGAATTCTTGATAGGCGTCCTCGGAAACAGTGAGGATGTGGTTGGAGTTGATAATAGGGTAGGAGAGGCCTGTGGTGACAGAGGCCTCCATCTTGAATTGCTTTGAAGGTGCTCGTTGACGCTTGTTGCGCGGATAGTGGGCGGCGTACGACTTGCAAGTGGGAGAAGAAGGTAATGCATTGCATTCTGACAGTCCCAGTAGTTGACCGTTGTGGTAATACCACCACGTCCCCACTATACTCTTTGTGTGTGTATTTCAGCTGTGGGAAGGATCTGAGTGTGGAGGCCACCTCTTGTACACAAGCCAGTTCTGCAGACTGTCGTACGGTACACTCCTCGTGGAAGGTGGGATGCATCGAAAAGAGTCGCGCCCTCCAACAAGACAACCTTTCCGTTTCACGGCTCTGCAACACGCAAAAATGGCTGTGTCTCCCACCTGCCTGAGGATGTTGACTTTGAATGCCCCAGAACTCTTACTCACGCGTTGCAGAGAAGCACGCTGTGCCCCTGTGCACTTTGTGCGGTGTCCCGGGTCGCTCTCGCTCCGGTGGTCAAATTGCTCTACAGTTGACAACCTAGCTCGCAGGGCTGCGCGCGATGCCCCAGCGTTCTGGTTGACGGCTGGACTGATTCAGCTCCGCCAGTTTTGGGGACGCCATTTGCCTGCATGGACAACCTGTGTGTCAGCCACCCAACGGGCCGTACAGTGTGTCAGCCACGGTGGCTCAACCACAATCGCCGTGCCAGACGAACGCAACCACGAAGAGTAGTGAGCGACACATCATCTTGAAAAATGACCTGGAATGACCCGCGAGCCAATATGTACGTGGCAATTGGTTCGCTGCAGGTTCCAAATCAAGCCAAGCGTCCCAAGCCGTACCAGGTGTCCCTGTCCCTGTTACAGAACATACAATTCAGAATTTGACAAGCTGATATGAACATTTGCCACACCAGGGGTAAAACTGACGCGCCCCTGCCCCGCCCTGAGTCTCCATGCCCAAAGTCTTACCACACAGTTGGTGCCGTCGTCGCAGCGCGCAAGCTCTCACTTTGCAGCACGGTATAACAACCCATCTGTACTGACCAAGAGCCCGCAGTCGCCCTTTCACACGCCCAAATGAAACCGCAAAGTGCTCTGCCGCCTGCATAAAGAAATCGAGTTTCCTGGCCCTTGCAAAATGTAAACACCATCGTCCTTTTCTGCACCCGCACAGGCCCGGTCAATCCAACAAAAGAATCGATACTAAGGCTCATCAATCACACTCGTTTTCAGGCAGTGCTGACGCACCAATCACATTCAGCTATCGGTTCACAAATGGCAAAATCACCCACCCACCATTCAAACTGTGCCAGGGTTCGATTGCAAACGTCAGCGAGCCAGCTTCTGAGCTGCACCTCGGAAAGACGTCTCTGCCATGTGGTGCTGGTGCAGGCGACCAGTCAGCGAAAGCTCCTTCGTCTGCCCAGATTAAGGTTCAATCCCTCACAGGCAACCTCCAACTATAATGAAGCTAGTGAAGTGAAACTGTTATTTTATCTCAGCCCCCCTACACCTGGGACCGGTTGAGAGGCGGCCATCGAGCAATGGTGGCCAGCCATCGTTGATGCTTAGAAGACGATCGTGGTCTCTCTCCCGCCCCCCAATTCGTACACCATATCCAACGCTTCTGTGAGGGCACCCTGACCAAAACTTGAGATGTAGTTCTGGTTGAGCTTCAGCTCCTTCACAGCTCCTTCTGCATTCGCCTTCAAACTTTGGGCAAGAGCGCAAGCCCCGGTCCAGACCCCCATTAGGTAGCCCATCACACAAGCCAGGCCTGCGCGATCGCTGACGCCCCCAACGGCCCCAGGTAGTTCCCGCCCAGGCCCAGGACTCTGAGAGACATATTTTCTGTCAGCGCTTCCGCCAGGGCAGCGGCGCCCTCATACTCGATTCCGTTATTGTTCAGCTCCAGTGAAGTAAGAGTGGTGTTCACTTTGAGCATCTCTGCCAGGGCGGCCGCCCCCTGGTCGTTGATGTTGTTCCCGTTGAGCTTGAGTGTGGTTATGTGGGCATCCCCAGCCATGCAGCTGGCCATCATCGCGGCCCCCTCGTCCCCAATGCTGTTGGTGGACATGGACAAGACCTGCAGGGCGTCATTGGACTTGAGCACCTCGCACAGCTGGGCGACCCCAACCAGGGCGACCCCATTGTTGCTGAGGTCCATCTCCCTGCACACCGTGTTGAATGCCAGTGCCTCCACGATGTAGGCGCATCCCTCGTCTCCCAAGTTCTTGGCCGACAGGTCCACCTTGGCTTGGCTCTGGATGGTGCCCATCAAATCGTTGAGCCGGGTGACGGCCTCGCGCTGCAGCCGCTTCTGCTCGAGTCCCGCCTGCAGGCTCCGCAGGAGGCCCACCTTCGCGCCATCCTCCTCGCCCTCCTCGACGTCGCCACCACCCTTCCCCGCCAACCATTGAAACACCAGCACCGCCCCGGCGACGGCGACCGCCACCACCCAGCAGGCCCCGGCGGCAGCCATGGCCCTCGGCGGCAAGGGGCCGGACCCGCTCGTGCCGCCCGGACGCAATCCATCCCCCGGCTCCACCCCTTGGATAGCGAACGCCCCTGCGGGGCGCGCGGACCACGACGCGCCGGATGACTGGGCGCCAACGGCGCCAGCCGCTTCCGCGGGATCGCCAGCCTCAAGGCGCCCGTCCTCGATCGGCAGGGCTTCTGCAGTGGGCCCACTTTGGGCGGATTGTACCGTCGACAGCGCCGGACTTTCGGCGTCGCCGCCAGGCCCCACCTGTGCGGCGTCGCCCCGCCCCGCCGAGGCGCATGCGGAACAGCGGAGTGCCAGCCTCCGCTCTGCGTTCTCTCGCAAGCCCTTGGCCAATCCGGGCTTGAAGGGATCAACGCCAACCCAGCCGTCCGCAGGCCGGACGACCAAGGACCTGCACCCAAGGGCGTCCCAGCGAATGGGCAGGACCGGCATTTGCGACGAGCGCAGCCGCGCGCGTGGAGCGGACAAAGTCGGGCGCCACGCGGGCCGGTCCGCCCTGCGGGGACAAGTGCCACGCGGACGAGGACGAGCACGTCCTGTCCGCGCAGGCAATCTCGATCCTGTCTGGAGTGGGGGTGTCGCGCCGCTTGGCCTTAGGGACCCTGTCGCTGTGCATTGGCCTTAGGCTCGTCCGTCCGAAATCGAGGCGTGACATGACGCAAAGACACTTCCTTTGGGCCCAGTAGTTTGAACAGCATGTCGTCCCCCAGAAGCAAGACCAAAATCGCCGCAATGCCTGTCGACTTCGCTTGCTCCTCGGCCTGGCGCTCTTGCCCAAAACATGCAAGAGCAGGCGAGAATCACCGTAGGTGGTTATGGAGCCGGCATTCATGCAGGAAGATCATCCGATCCTGTTATAACAGTGGCCAACAGTACAGCATGGATTCCAGCGCTTGGGGGATATCCAACAAGTATCTGGGGTCGCGTGACGCCACATGGGGGATATCGCTGGGTGTGGCGCCTTGGGTTGGGGTTTTTAGTGGAATTCGCGAGTGAAGGAGGAAGGTGTCACGCGACCAAATATAATATATGGGATATCTCCTAAGCACTGGAGTCCTCTGATTGGGGCAACAGTGCCGCTTATTGCTCTTGCCATGAGTTTTGGCTGCCTTATCTTTCCAGTGTGGATCTTCCAGCACTAGCCTGCAACCCTATACGATGTGACGTTAGCCGTGCACTGTGCAAGGCTGTGAAGCCCCAAACCTGACATACCTTAAGGGAGATCTTGTATATTCTTGATGGATGCAAGCGTATGCACAACATCGATGCCTCATGCCACAGACCTGGTTGTGGCTCTTTGCTGCAACAACCCTTGGCAGCTGCCAAGATGGTCGCCGATTTGTGCAGTTGCACAGCCCCAGTGGGAATTGACCACGATTTGCACGTGAGTGCTTGCTCCGAGACAAATGCGACAGGATCTGCTGTGGACAACTTCCGGGGCATCAAATCCGCAGGCGAACACAGGCAATGCTGAGCAATGCCATTGGACGTCGTCAACAGCGCGAGAGCAAAATCAACGCCATGATGCAATCAATCAAGATCAGGTAGATACCATGCCGTTCGCAACACTGCCGGGGAAAGCAGTGCCTTACACATGGGTCAGCAAGGGGAGCACTCCACAACACCTTCCAGCTATCTGTGCTGCCCCCATGTACACTGCGCACAATCGCCTTCCTGGGGCCAGCGATCAGATCAGCCTCCACAGCCTCGTGGATGCACAACAAGGTCTCTCAACTTTGCCGCCTATTTTATCTCCATACAACATCAGGGTCATCGCGTTAGGGTCCTCCAAACCCATGCACAGTAACGAGACAACTGGAACGCCCGCATTGGGAGTTCCGAAGCCAAATGTTCGGATAATCTATTCAAGAACATCCCTATCAATGCAGCACACGAGTGCAAAAAAACACATAGTTGTGAGCACTGCCTTATCCGGGCAGTGGCGAACTGAGGTGAACCGTGCAAACATGCAAGGAAAGGTGTTCCATGCCATGTTGCACAAACCATCTGGAGATAGCTGCACTTCTGTACAAATTAGCAGACTCATGGAATAAACCATCAAGAATGCCTCCCAATGAAACACATCTGCCCACACAACCAGGTTTCCAAAACATAATCCCCAAAAAATCACAAAATCTGTCGATCGACAGCAATTTATGTGCCCTGCCTCCCCAGACACTGGTCACCCGAGGCCCGAGCAAAACTCCTGGAAGTTGGTATCTTACAGGACTTGAGAGGGCTTCCACAACTTGCTTGTGGGCCCACAACAACTCCCAGCACCAACATGTGTTTTGAAACTGAATTTTTCAGCGTCGGCATCAAATTCCCCCCCCCTCCGCCCAGCGGGTCTCCTAGTCTAAGCCAATTTGGCGCTCAAACACAGAGCGTCCATTATTGTACATGAAGCATTCTGCCATCTCCAAGGAAACCCTCTCTTCTCCACCCGAGAAATCTCTCAGCAAAATTGAGCCCTGACCACCAGTCAGCAGCGTTATTAGTCACTTGTTTTCACTTCACTTGCGGGTTGATGTTGCCCCCAACTTGTGCATTGTGTATGCTCAAAGCACGCTGCATTTCGTCATACCACTGGCTGTATCTCGCATGCCACTCCATGTACTCTGCCTGCCAATTTGCATATGCCAGGCGCTGGGATGCATCCCAAAAGGAATATTGCTGCAACCAATGGCTGTATGCTGCCAAAGGATTGACAGAATCTGCAAGGCTGGCATTGCTGGGCATCGGAAGGGGCAGCTGTGTTGATGGTGCCCAATTTCTGGGCGCAGATGAAAACCCACAATCCCTTGGGTGGTGGCCTCCAGCACCCCTTTCAGCAACAGGCTCTGCCCCCGTTTCTTCACCTATTATCCTTTTTCCAGCACTGTCCAAACTGCCCTCTGCTGCACACAATACGGTGGCCTGCTTGCTGTCCGGCACGAAGATATCTGTCAGCGCACATTCTGTGGGCACATGCAACTGAAGGGCACTTGGCCGTTCGGATTCAGCACTGTTGTCTGCAGGCTCACTCCCATCACCATGAGCTGGTGTGTTGGCTTCGTGGTCACTCAATGGATCACTGTCTTCACTCTGCCACAAATCTCCTGATGGCAGGCACTCTTCAGAGTACACAACGCTCTCTGCATCGAAGTCGTCGGCAGCCTGCGCACCGTGGCCATCGCACTCGTAAGGGTCCCAGGCGTCCCAGATGCCCTCACGCCTACCCATCCAGTCCCTCCACCAGTCCAGCACCGCTCCTCCTGTGTCATCCACCCAGTGCTCTGGTTCATCTTGGAAGTGACGCAGCGGCTCCGGAACAACAGGCGCCTGGAGGAGCCTCTCATAGGCCACCTCCTCCTCTGGGCTTCCCAGCTGGTATGCGTACCAGTCCTCAGGCACAGGGTCAGGCAGGGGCTCAGCTTCCCTGCCCGCTGACTCCCTCATGCAGGCCTGAAGTTTCAACAGCTCATTCTGATTCACAAAGGCAATGCACAGCCCATAGGTTCCAAACCTTCCCGTCCGTCCAATCCTGTAGCAATGCAACACACACACAAGGCAATCAATGAACTTCTCACACCCACAGAAAATCAGCCATACACTCCAGACATCAAGCCCATCCAGCACAACAAAACGCTGCGCCTGATCGGCGCCGGTTGCGGATAATCATGATAGCAGGCACTATCGCAGCATGTCACAAGCAGAATGAAGCAGAGCAGGTGGCTCGCATGATCTGTCGCAGCACATCTGACGCTGTGGTTTCTAGGAGTGTAAGGGCAGGCTCCTCTGAGGCCAGGACCTTCACCTGTGCATGTAAGTGGCCGGGTCTTGGGGCACATCCAGGCAGCAGACGAGGTTGACCCTCTCCAGGTCCACACCCCTGGCGACAAGGTCCGTGGACACGATCACCCGGAGCTCAAAGCCCCTCATGGCGGACATCGTCTCCAGCCTTTCCTCTTGGGGCTTCTGGCCCGAAATGAACGCGGCGGGGAAGCCGGCGCGCGTCAGCCGATCCGCGAGCGCCTGGGCGTCGCTCTGCCTGTTGCAGAACACTACAGTCTGGTGGAACGACACCGAGGACAGCACAGCCAGGAGCGCAGCCACCTTTGCCGAAAACTCGCCATCCCCGGCGTCCTCGACCAGGCTGTAGCAGTGCCTGACGCCCAGCAGCGCGGCCGACTTCGACCTCGGGACCGTCAGCACTCGCTGCGGATGCCGCATGTGGCCCTCGATGAGGGTCTGCACGTCCTGGGTGTACGTCGCCGAGAACGCCATCAGCTGTTTGGCCTTCGGCAGGGAGGTCACGATCCGTTCCACGGCCTCCTTCAGCGAGCCGGAGAATAGCTGGTCGGCCTCATCGAGTACGCACGTCGAAAGCGTCTCCCCCCTCAGCTCCCGGCTCTCCAGCAGCCACTGCATCCGGCCCGGCGTGCCCACGACCACCTGGCAGCGGCGCCGCAGCCTGCGCCGGTCCTCTGCCACGGACACGCCGCCGATGAAGACGCCAACCGATATGTAAGGCGGGGGCAGGCCGCTGGCCACCCTCTCGATCTCCGATGCCACCTGCACGGCGACCTCCCTTGTAGGGGTCAAGACCAGGGCCTGGGGGTGGCCTGCCGCGGGGTCGACTCTCTCCAGGCACGCCACGGCAAACACAAGCGTCTTGCCGGTGCCAGACTTGGCCTGGACGACAAGGTCCGAGCCCAGGCGCGAAAGGGGCAGGGCCACCTCCTGCACCGGGGAGGGCTTCTTGAATCCCGCCTCGGACAGGGCGCGCACGAACTCGGGCGGCAGCAGTATTTTCGCGAAGTTGTCCGCAACGCCGAGCGCGTCGGCGGTGCGCGGTCGAGTCGCGGAAGCCATGGCGCCGCAACCGCACCCACAACTTTTCTTGGGCATCCGCTTCTGGGTTGGCGGCTTTGTGCACTCCAGGGTGTGCTGTGTGGGGGCTGGGCAGAACGCCACGCCGCGTCAGCAGGGCCGTCAGCACCCAGTCAGCCGCCCGCAGGCGGCCGGGACTGGAAGAGGGGGGGAAAATGCGCCAGCGACTCCAACTTTCGGCGACTTTGTCTTTCGGGGGGGGTGTCACAAGAGGGCATTGGTGGTATGGATCCCGGCCGCCTGAAAGTTTTCAAAAATCCCAGCTGTGCTAGGACGGCGCTGACGGCGCCTGTTCCACCGGCAAAGGGCCATCGAACAGGCTGTGGCCTGGGGCTTAAAAGAGACGGTGGTCGTCATCTTCAGATTTTTGATGGTTGGAGGGGTGTTGGAGAAGACTGGTTGGCGCCCAAGTTTCGCAGCAGTACGCGCATGGTTTGTTCCTGAATTGCGCACATCCATTTGCGTACTGCATATGACTGCAGTGTGTGGTGTGGTGCATTAGTAAATTCGAACGGAAGCCGCAGCAAGAAGGGGTATCTCGGCTTGAAGCCAGCAAACACGGAATAATTCGCGACCTCCTCCAGCACTGCAGGTTCTCTTTCATGGCCGTTCCGCCTCAAAACGATGAAGAAATCGGTTCAGTTGAGTCCAAAGAACAGTGCACACTGAACTTTGCCCACCACCGCCTTGCAAGTGCACTTGCAAGCGCAGTGAGTTGTTACGTTCCCAACAAGCGTAATTCGGAGAGTTGAGAGGGCATAAACATGTGGGATGCACGTTAGGGCCGCTCTTGGTCTTCGGCGGTTGCAAATCAAAGGGGTGCGGTGCTTCATCGAATAAAGCATGTGGCAAAGAAGTGGATGTGCCGTAGTATCGCATCGACAAATTGGTATTAACAAGTGCCTCAGGAATCAGAGATACAAATTGTTGATCATTATTTTGACAAGGGATTGGTCTTCATGGTGGATGCCATGCGTTGGCGTTGTCAGTGCAATTCAGGTTATGGCGTTTACTGTTTGAATTTCGTGATTGCATGTTTCTTTCCAAGCTGCTTCTCAGCGCACCATATTTTCCAAATTTTCCGCCTCATTTCTTTCCACACTTCTTTGCGCCTAGTTGTTTTCGACCATGGGACTAGACAACCGACGCAAAATGCAAGCGGCAACGGCTGTAAGAATTTGCTTTGCCTGGGGGAACAGAACGATTCCATGCAGGAATGATATCAAGAAAAATGGTGAATCCTGGGATGGCGGAGAATATGTCAATTGCCACGTGCAGTCCTAATCAAAAATGGCAATATCAGGGGGCAGTAGTATTTTCGCAAAGGATTCCTTACGGAATCCTCATAGCGGCTGCGTTCTATTACCTGACGTAATTCATAAGCACAAATTCGCATCCCTTTCGTTACAACGACTGGAACCATTTGCCACTTGTGGGGCATGACTCCGGAATTCGGTCTCGCTATCTGGGCCATTTGAATACATTGCTGCTGGGGGATGTCCATTTCATGTGCCCAAAAAGCAGCCGCTCGAGACTGCCATATGCGACGCTTAGTCATCGCAATATCGCACTGCGTGTTGAGCATGAAGTTTCTGGATATTTTTGGCAATTTTCAGGAAGGCGATATCTGGTTGCTTGCAGCCCTGTGGGTTAATAGACGCTTGAGAGCGCACGTCAAATCCTGCAAATGGTCTTTTGGCAGCTGAGGGTGATATCGGCACTAAGCTGCAAACCGTGCTGTATGTATAGCCAATCTATTGTACATAGCTGTAGCGTTGCGCAATGCGTGGCTTTACTGCGGTTTCCCTCATTTCTTCTACCAAGCTGAGGCGCAAAGGGAGAAGATAACTCCTCCCACAGCATGAAGATCTCCTACGCATGTAATAGAGGTGATGCAATGTATGTATGCGCCGTTGTGCAATCAAAATGTACACCTTTTGACCATAGATATGTGTGTTTCTTCCCTGTTTGGCTGTCTTCAATATTAATATTGTTTTGGTGTTCACTACTAATACATGATTCGGGTTGCCCCACGTGGTGTCGGCGCATGACTGCAAGATAGTTGCAGATACATTCAAACGTTGAGCACAGCAGCAGTACATTGCTTTTGCATGGTAAACGCTAAACTTCAGATGCCTCAGTGCTGGTGAAACTCGCTGCCGCACACCAGCTGGTTCTTACTTCCTGCTTCGCACTATGTATCATAGTCGATGGAACGTATCTACGTTGATGCGCGCGCACAGATTGCTGCTATCTCTCTTTTGTTTTCTTCGCCCTCGCACTTTCCAGCGCATTCCTATGCTCTCATCCCTTCAATACACGCCCGTGTTCCTGTTTGCGTCTCTATACGCTAGGCTGCATGCTGGCCGCTGAGGTGTTCGCCTCCATCTAGGAGACCAAAAGCAAGCGGTGGTGTCTCGATGCAAAGTATTGTTCACGGAAACCAGTACACACTGCAATTTCGTTGGTTTAGCTCACGCGAACCGATTTGATAAACCCCATATGAGAGATGGCTGTGACTTTTTTCTGATTTGCGCAGCACATAACACCAGAGGCGTTGGTTTTGGACCACCCAATTTTGGAGAAAGGAGGATTTTCAGCTTCGCGTCCAGGGACACAATAATTCTTATCACTGGCATTCGATCCCTCCTCGATTTTATATGCCATAAACGATGGGACGCCCCCAAGAAGAAAAGGCTTTGTCGGAGGACGATCAGCGGGACTTCTTTTTGTTTTATTTATGAAGATGTCCCATATTTTGCGCAATTGCTTTTCTCCCGTTCCAAGGTGGTGGCGCAGGACAGAATCTGTCACCGTCGTTGGGTGATTCCAAAGCGACACCGCCGAACCTCAGGTTCCCAGGCAGCGACCCAAATTCAGATGCGCACGCAGGACCGCACCCCTGCATCGCAAGTCTGCCAGATGCTGGCACACTGTATTCCTTCAGAGTGTGGATGTGCATGGAGAGATGTTGCTTGTCGGCAGGGTGCCCACAATCGGCTTGCATTGGGAGAAACACGGTGGTCGGAATGGTTTCCATTTTAGCAACTGACTCCCAAAGGCGAAGCGCGGGGAGGCAGCTAACCTCCCTTTCCACAATCTGGTTATCTGTGAGTTCGCCAATTCAGGCGATCGCCTGTCCGAGGCGCTGGCTGTCTCGCGGACATGACCGCATGACTGGGCGTGATAACCCCGCACATGGGCTCCCGAGCGCAACGAGACAGCATGGTTGCCAAACTTCGCAATCTGAAGCTGGGGTGAGCGCACAGATGGAGGGCGATGTTGGACGCACACGATGTCGCGAAGTTCGCAATGCTGGCGTGCATGATGCCGGGGTGTCCAACCCGGAAACGAGCAGGGAGCAGTCTGCAGAATGCGTTGAAGGCGTTTCCGACCGATTTGACGTTTAAACAAGGGCTGTCACATCACCCTACCCCCGTCATTGACCTCCGATGGCCGGTCCGATCATCGTACACATACGCTGGGGCGTCCATGTTGATGCTGGCCTCCCTCCAGCGGCTGGGCTGCTGGACTGCCTGCGCCTATTGCGCGGCAGAGGCACTCCCGAATTCGAAGCCCGCGGCCGGGGTGGAGAGGGCGCGGGGCGTCGCGCCTCGCGATTCAGGGGGACGCGGCTGAGCATGAAGGAGCGCGGCATGGGGGCGCAGCGCCGCCCTTGTCATGCTCCTTGCGGAACGGCCCTCGCGGTTGTGGCGGTGTTCGTGGCAATTGCGTGCTCAAATGGCTCCAAAGGTGCGTGCTGCGCTGTTGTCTGGGAAGCTGCGGCTATCGATCGCAACGTGCAGTTCCCCGGCCCCCGATGGGCTCCCGACGGCAGCCGTTCGCCAAAATTTCTTTGGCCAAGGGGGGCAGGAGGTCCAGGGCTTTGCGTCGCTGGACGATCGCACCTCCTGTGTAGACGCCAAAAGGGAGGCATGCGCATTTCCTTCAAAGATGGAGCCCCATACGCGAAGCGATGCCAAGCAGCTGGAGTTCGCTCCATTAGGCGGCACCACCCGTGCGATAGCCATGGCGTGCAGGGATTACAGCACCCGATACGCACTGCGCCACTAGCATTCTGTTGATTGCAAGTTACATTAGGGACCGCGCCCCCTGTTCCCACCAATTTGACCCACCAGCCGCTGCGTAGCTGGCTCCATTTCTTGCATGGAGCGGCGATTTGCACCACCTGGTGGTCTACACGATGTAGCTCGGTAGGATACTTATCGCTATGGCTTCTGTCACCGGCGCTCCCGCGCGGCTGTAGCGTGGGAGTCATGCTTTCGGTCACGGTGCTGTGATGTGGATACAGATGCTGATGTGCACATCGACAATATGGGCTCGAGGGCTCTGCTGCAGGTGCGCTGCCATTGTGGGAATGGGGCTGCTGGGCGGCCATGCTGCTCTCGGATGTCCAGCCCTGACTTGTGCCAGGCCGAAGCTTCCAAACAAGGGCATTCTTCACATTTGTTCCAGTATTTTTGCGAGTCAACGAACAGGAAAAATATCACAACATCTTTGTTGTTTCCATGAGATAATCCAGTCGCTGGGCTTGTGTAGCAGCAATTCGCTTTCTCAGCACTGGAGGGTTTTTGAAAAGGTCACAACTATTGAATCATGAGTGCTTGGCAGTTGGGTCTGAACTTTGAAAGCGCCTTGGAGGACTCCTTGAAGCCACTTTGGGGTGATGTGCTCTCAGGATTCGGCTGACGATCAGCCCCCTGCTGCTGCTGTTGGTGTTGATTTGGGTGGACTTCCTGGGGTGGATTTTTCTGGGAGGCCAACCCCTCCTGTGGTCCCGCCAAAAACTGGAAGTGGGCTTACTTTGCAGCCATGCTCGTTGAACGAGAAATGCCCAGAGGACAATGTTTGCTACCCACACCAGCAAGACCCCAAGAAAGGTGAGCCCAAAAAGCACAGCGTGCCTTGCACCATCAATTGTACACAAACGTTTCCTCTGAATTTCAGTCCGTTTCCTAACCTACATGCAATATTCAACTGGCTGACGTCACCTGCTTGACATTGCCAACTTTTACCTGCATTTCCCAGCCACAGAACTTCCCATCCCACTGCTCGTCTCAGTTGCAGCTTGTGACCAGTCTGCTTATTGGCGTTCCTGCTGAAGGTGTCTGTGCCAAACCGCCGACGGGGGGAGTCGTCATCCCAGACGATGCTGGAGACTTTCCAGTTCCAGTTGCCTACTTCCCACTCACAGGGCAGTCGTTGAACTCCTGGCCAGATGAGCAGTATGTGGGCGCATCAAATACAGCAACATTTCGTCAAGACTCCCAATTTGGAAGCGTTCTACACTGCAAGGAGAGTGAGTGGCTTGGAAGCCGCGGCGCTTGTCAAGTTTGTTGTCATCTTAACCCTGTGGCAGCGCAGTGGAAGCGGGTGGATGGATAAGTTTGTGGGTTTCATGCGTTCATGAGCGAAAATGCCTGCTGATTGCGACTGTGTACGCTGTATGGTAGAAATGGTGAGGGGGAGGGCAGTTCCTCTTTTGGCCCCAATAGATAGTCATGTTGCACAGGCAGTTGGCATAATTCAGTCTCTCACTGCTCATTTGGGTTTTGCAGACACAGAAGACCTTGTGGTCATTCAGAATGTGGAGTATGGCAGGAATGGGTCCTTCTCCATCTCCTTTTGGATGAAGAAGGACATCAGTGCATCTTCCTTTGGCGATACTCACCAGTTCATATACTCCCACACTACAGTCAGCAACACCAACAACAGAAATGCCGATCCAACGCTGACCAACCAAATTCAAGTTTACCTGCCAGAGATTTCCCATCCTGCGCATGGACTTCTGAGAGTTCTGATAAAGGTGAATTGGGGGGTGTCGATTTCTTGTTGTCGTACCGTGCTGAAGAATCAACTGCTTGGTTATTTCGTAAATTTGGTTCGCAATCGGAGGCATGGTGTTAGAGGCTGAATTTTTTGTTCTCTTATTATTTAGTTTCTGCCTTCTGATCGCATAACGTGCTACACTTCAGCGCAACCATCGAAGCATCATGGGTTGCCTACAGGAGGCAGGGCCTGTGCGAAATATACTCTCATGTGCTAAAATCGGCTGGTGTACTGTGTCGACTGTGTAGGATGATAATGACACCCCTGAGGCGTTTTACATGGACTCTGATGGTTCGATTGCCAACAATGACGAACGCAACGTAACCAACCATGTGGAGATTGAAGACGGAAATTGGCACATGTTCACAGTCACAACCCAGCCATCTGGGGCCAAAGGCTACAGAATATATATCGATGGAGAGCTTGCGGCTTCGACTCCAGATTCAAAAGGTTTGCTTTTAGTGGGCAAGTGCTTTACGCTTTCACGTGATATGCACTGAAACCGGCAATTTATTTTTGGTGAACTGCTGTCTACGGTGCAGGAGTTAATGGCGGTGATCCAATTGAGCTTGATGGAAATATCTATCTCTGCGGGCGAGTGGACAATGCCCGCGAGCGCCATTTCGATGGCGCCATTGCAAAACTCAGCATATTTGACGTTGCCCTTGAAGAGGAGCAGGCAAGTAACAATTGGCACTGCTCCTGCCATTTGATCCATCGAAGGTGCTGCATTGCCTCATTTTCCTTGTTGTTGAGTTTTCCTTGAATGCCTGTTGCATCCTATCTCCACTGTTCTGGTACTCAGCCTTCTGGGATTATTGAAGGCCCCAATGGACGTTGGAGTGCAAGTGCTCTGTGACTAGTGTGGACACAATGTCCCAGCCGCCTTAGCGTACATCATCATGATATCAAAACACGCAGTGTTGCCTCTGTGAAGCTAACCCTCCACCAGTAGATTAACGGCATACTGTTCTCAAATATGTGGAACACGATGCCCAGCAAAGCAGTCTCCTCTCCTACATCTCATACTTTGCACATTGTCAATCAGCAAACGCACCAACCACATGCGTTACAGCCGTTAACCCGCAGGCTATTAGTGCAAACCATGGCACAGAGTCTTCTGTCTGCTGCATTTACATGTAAATTTGATGCTATCCGAATAAGCCCTATGTTGCTGGCCTTTTTGAAGGGCGTTCGAATGGAAACACAGAAAAGGCAAGTGCACACACGCACGCACGCACGCACGCACGCACAATGAAACATGAAACATATGTCCGTTTGTGTGTTTGTCTGGGTTTTCCTGTGCTGGTGGGTGGGTGTGTGGGTGGGGGATGGGGGCTTGTGGTGGAGGAAAACTGCGCAGAGGGCAACAGTACATATTTGCATAGTTTGGTACGTTATCATATGTGTGCGCATGACTGAGGGTAGTATGTGTGCGTAGCTCTGTGTGAATATCTTGAATATCAGGAAGCATGTAGGCATCTGCATTGAGCAATGCTGAAGTGTATATGTCTGGTCACACTCACACAATTGTATCTGTTTGGCTGGGACACCGTACGAACGTTGATGTGCCACTGCAACAGGTGCAGTCCTTGTATGCTGCTGTGTGGAAGGGCACCACAGATGGCATCCAAGACACCAAAACAGCCAACGGTGGTTTGCTGTATGTGAGAGGGACTGAGGTGCAGAGGTCGCTCAATACAACAACTGCCTTGGCCGCTGGTGCAGACTACGGTGCCCCACCTCGATTTGATGCGCAGGAATTTGCAAGCAAGACAGATTTCTGCAATGTGGCACCATCTGCTTTGGGTGAGGCACTGTGTATCACTTGTTGCACTGGTAATTGTGCCTGCCAACATGCTGCAGCTGTCAGCGCTAATGGATTTTGTCAATACTGACTCAAGATGCAAGCGTGCATTGAGGCCATCAAATCTTTGCCGTTGGAGAAGGGTCGCTGCTCAATACTGGGGCCCATGGTCCTGGGTGTAGTGCTGACATCATAAGTATACTTCGCTGTAATTACAATATTATAGTCATTCCACTGCCTTGCGTTTCCTGGAGTTGTGATGTTCAACTGGTGGGTTATGTTGCAGGATGGCTTATTCAAACAGCACGTACCATTGCATCATATTACACATAGAACTGGTACAACAGCTCTTGTGCCCGGCTGGCTGTGGCAGCGTTAGTTGATCAGGCGAAGTGCTTCAATTATTGCCCTGCCCTCATTCGCGCTGGAGGTGTTTTCGGTCAATCGTGGACGGAAATTTCAGAGCCATGGCCTGATGCATGCCCAAGCTCGTTTATCCGTGTTTGCTGGACCAGGGAAATGAACCGCGTCTCTTAACGTTAGAATAGGCAGGCAATGAATATTAAACTTAGTTTTGAAGGTGGTATTGTTGGAGATTGTTCAATTGAGTTTCCGTTTGGCAGTGACTAAATGGATATTGGGATGCAGGTGCTGTTTGATGAACACTTGTTTTCTATGAGGTTTTCGAGCCAGCGCACACTGCGTTCGTCATAGATGAACGCATCTTTTGCTCCCTCATTCACTGCCTGAAACTGGCATTATAATTCCGGTTTGCACAATTGTTTGTGAATCGCGTTGAATTCCGTCAGCTAGAGGGCAAACCACTTTGAGCATGGACCAGATCTCAACCTAATATTTTTGGTGCTGTTGTGTGAAGTTTAAATGCGTATAACACCTCAAGTGTGCTTCTAGGTGCCGATGAAGCTGACTGTGAGGTACCGGAGATTTGTGCCCCATTGCATATCCGACAGCTCAAGATGCTCGTCAGGATTGCTGACAAGCAGCCAGATCCAACCTTCAAGCTTGATGGCATCTGCACTGTGGAACCCGAAGGGGGTGCCATGAGTCCGAGGGAAGATAGGGATATACCAGAACCGTTTGCTTATTTCCCCTTGACGGGGGGCGATGCAGCGTCTTGGCCAGTGCCCTACGCCCAAGGCACACCCATCAATGTTGACGTGGTTGATGATGCGGCATTTGGAAAGTACGCCGAACAGTTAATACAGTGATGTGAATGCATGTCACATGATGCAATCCACAGCTCCACTTGAAATCCTCTAACTTTTCTGTAAGCGCACTAATATGTGTTGCTTGTGCATCATCCAACAGATGTTGTTTGCCCCAAACTGGCTATGTTGGAGATTTTCGGTTTCACAATACATCGCCTCAAAGTGTAGCTGAGAGGGTCGAAGAATTCCCCACTTTTGAAGACTGAGTTTGCAAATACAAAACTTTGTTAGAACTGGGATCAACACCTTCAACACATGTGGCGTGCTTCATTCTGTCACTGTCCGTCATCTTTATCAATACTTCTTTTGTTGGCAAGAGCCATGGACCATGCCTGCTACAAATACTCATAAAATCGTTAGGCATCAGCTTTTCATATGTTCTGAGCAGTGCTATTGGGAAACTATCTGCCCAGCGTTCAAAGTCACATCAGTATTTTGATGCAGCTGAAAAGATGCAGTTACTTATTGAGGGAGCGAAATCCTGGTCAATGAGAATCACCATTAGAAAAAATCCAGGGCGTCGAGTCCGCAGTGCTACTGACTGATGGCGCACAGTCCAGCAAACTGTGTGGAGTCCACGCAATCTTCAGGACCGACAAATAGCGCAGTTCTTGGCATGGGTGCTGAACTTTGCTTTGCATATTAAAGAGGACGAGTCGTGGCCAGGGAACAAGAGGCCCTCTCTGACACTGCTCCTCTACGTCTGCTCCTATGCTCCTCTACGAACCCAAAACAGCAATGTACACTCCACGGTTTTGTGCTTTTAAATGCATTCGCGCTGCAGACACACGATTTTCAGCAATTCCATATGCGCAGCTTCCAGATTGAATTGTGTAGAGTGGACTTTGGGCTGCCAGTGTATTTGAGATATAAGTCTGTTGAAGAAGTCAATCGCAGCTGAGTGGAAAGTCCGACAATGTGTGCGTTCTCCAGGGTGTTCCAATGCAGTGAGGAGGCAGGCAGTTACATAGTTTTGGACAATGTTCCGTATGGTGATTCTGGCAGTTTTGCCGTATCCTTCTGGACAAGGTCTTTGAACAACACCGGAAACACATTCCAATACATCTACTCTCATGCCGGCTTGAATGTCAGCGATAATCCGTGGATAAAGAACCAGGTGAGTGTGCGCTTGATGCGTTGCCAACGCGCTTTGGCTGCACGTTGACACACGTGCTGCATGTGTTGATGTAATGTGCATGGCTAATGCCACCAGTCTTGGAGTGTTGTAGAATACATTGCCACAATCTATCAATGACGGTGATGCATGCTCTTTATGCAGGTTCAAGTGTATTTGGCGGAAACGAACCACAGCTCCCGTGGCATACTGCGCGCAATTGTCAAAGACATTGATGATGTGGAGGACGGCGAAGAATCAGAAATATACCTGGATTCTGATGGAGATGTTTCCATCACTCTCAAGGACAAAGCAGGTGGGTATGGACGATCCTCCATGCGAGGGTGAAGTGTCCTCTGTCCATTGGAGAGCACGCTTGCCCCTCTGGTGTTGGGCGTCGTGCCAGTTTGCGTAATGTGGTCGTAATCCTGTGTGCACTTCACGATGCTGCAGAGATTCAGAAGGAAGCGGCTGTAAATGCCACGGATGGCCAATGGCACATGGTCACTGTGACAACGCGCACTGATGGCAAAAAGGGGTTCTCCATATTTGTTGATGGCATACTGTCGGGAGAGATGGTCGAGGACGTCACCTACACAGGTGAGCCACGTGCTTCCTATGATAGATGGTTGCTCTTGGCCACAAATGTCTTTTCATGGAGTTCGCAAACGAGCGATGTGTACTGCGAGGTTGCCATCCTGAAACGTCTGTGGGGCTGCCAATATAGGGGCTGATGGTGTTATACGAAGAGCCACTGGCGGAGATCCAATGCGAGCAGGCGGGAATATCTATCTCTGTGGGAGACACGATGGCAACCCAGAACGTCACTATGATGGCCTCATTGCACATTTGGCTCTGTACGACTCAGGTCTCTCCAGTGAGGAGGTAAATGTCTGCGAAGGTTGGATTGCCTCTAAATTATGCCATTGTTTGATATACTTGTTCTGGAGTAAGTTCTTCAGGATTTTGTAGAACTGACTAGTGAAGAGGGTGTGTGGCATGAGCTACAGGAATGGCATTGCGCTGCAAGGTGCAGTTGTGTCAGTTCCACCTAGCCTCCAACTTATTTTGAAGCACTGCATGATTGACTGGAACGGTTTATAAACAGCGCCGACGATCAACGATGTTGCATGCTGGTTCCAAAGATGCAGCCAACAATTTATATTGCAGCAATTGGAGCAGACAGTGCCGTTGGGATGTTCAACTCACTACGCTCTAATTGGACAACAGTATGACTTGTAAAACGATGCGACCATGTCAGCTTCTTGTTGAAGCTGTACAAAAAAGCACTCTGGCAACGTGTGGTCAAAAAGTAGTTTTGAGTGGGGTGGCATCCCTGTGTTCATGGACCTAGAATTCGACTTTGTACTTTACATCCTGAAACATGAGCCAAGGCTGCAACTACTCCATACATTCTCGTTCAGAGTGGCTGCACAATGCAGGTTCGATGTTCTGATGGCACATTTTGCTCATATTATGTGATGGTAGGCACGGTGTTCAGTGCATTGCAAATATCAATATGCTCGTTAGCACATAATCTTTTCTCTGCTTGAGACAACCATTGACTCCCATTCCTGCGATTGCACAGGTGAAAGACATTTACAACGGGGTACTCGAATTGCATGCAGCACTGAAGACAATGGCCACATCAGGTGTGCAAGGCGATCATTCCATCATTTTCCAATTATCTAACATTTTTGCCATGCTGCGTGCTGGTCAATTTTCACTGCATTCTGTTCAGTGCAGAGCACTATGCCGCTCTGTATTTCCTTGAGACGGCAACACGGAACATGCTTTCCTCAAGATAATTAGTGGGTTTTATCGCGAATTTTGAGTGTCGCCTGATGAATGAATTCTGCATTTGTGGACAAACTTTTGTTTTAACCATACCATCCACCAATCAAGTATCCTTGCTATATCTGGCTGTGGCTGTTTATCTCAGCATACCTTCTGACGAGTGTATGAAGCAGGTGACTCAGGCCGCAGAAGATCTCTGCTACAGTCTCCTGGATCTGCATCAAGAACACAGGATACTTTCCAGCCCCTCACGCCACCCTTCCAACCCCGATTTTCATTCGGTGCTATTCCCACAGCTATCCCTGTTGCTCTCCCACCGGGGAGCGTTCCGAGGGGTTCATGGCAAGGAGCCGTCACAGGCCAACCAGGAAAGTTCTATGGACGCTGCAGTGGGGACTACGCACAGGGCATAGGCATATCGAATGCTCCGGAATGCCAGGAAGGATTGGTAAGTGCAACATTATGGGATATGTAGACTACAAGCTGGGAAATGCGTCAGCAACACAGACAAGCAGCTCCCACTTCAACCATTGAAGGGACCTTCTTGGATGGCGCAAAGTTGTTGAAAATCTTGCTTCAGAAAACTATCGGGAGCTGTGGCTGTGCACAGTTTGTCCCATTTCATCGGTCCACTGCTTCAAGAACACTGCGGGCACACTGAGGATGAGTACCTCCAAGTGCTGGTGTGGATGCAGGACACTGATAGGCAAATGAAGACCTTCGCATGATCATGCCACTAGCCATTGTACTCGAAATAATGTTTTCCATTGCTTTCTCAATATCGCAATTTCTCCAGTATCAGATGTGCTTAACGACCGGTTTGGTTGCAGACGTGCATCCCAATTCTCACCCCCACCTTCCGCGGCGATTCTGGTGGGCAGTTGGAAAGGGTTGGCGTATGTGCCAGATTTCCCAGCGACGGCGCATACATCTTCGATCCCAAGTCGGTGTTGACAATCCCCATTGCATACTTTCCACTTACGAGCACCGACCTAAACTCGTGGCCATTGCCGGTCTTTTCTGGGAGAGCCCCTAAAATCAACTTGATTGAAGATGAAGTCTTTGGATCTGCACTGGACTGCCAAAAGGTAAGGCGAAGTCTTTGGATCTGCACTGGACTGCCAAAAGGTAAGGCGCAATGAACTCCATGTTTGCATGGTCCTGTGGACCCACATAAAGCATTGCAAACTCTGTTTTGGTGCATCACCGTACCTGATAAGAGTAACGTGGAACAGTGCACATTGCTACATATTGGAACCCAAGCTTGTTCGTCATGTCCGCCTACATAGCCTTTCTGATGTTGGCAGTTAGCAGCTCCAGAAGGAAATAAAAGTTCACACCCATCCTTTCCTTTTGGACAGTCTCAGCAGCTGCGAGTGAAATATATTGCATCTGTGAGAAAGTGTGCTGCTGAGCATGAAGCCAATTGACGAATTGCTTTCCCATGCCACATCGCACTATAGACATCCCTTTGCATGCTCTTGGATGTCTTGAACTGTATTCTGCCTCAAAAGTACATGTGATGGATTCTGAGATTGCTGATATGCAGGCACAGCACTTGCAATAGCCTTTGCATCATCTGAGACCTGTGCCGAACGCATGTCCAATTTGTGGTCGACTTTTGAGCAGATGCCAAAGCTTTAGAAATATTGGAGATTATCAGAAAAAAATGTCGATGGCGTACCATTCTGTTTGACTGCAACTGAGTGAAGACCCTCTTTTTCCAGGGGGTAGTTTGAACTTGCTAGTATTTGATCACGAAATCAACTTACATGAGACTCAGTACACAAAGAAACGATGCTTGCGACATTCCAGCTTACTTATACACCTACGAACATGTAGGCTGTCTGGACTGCACAACCATCAATGGCTCATATGAAGTGCGGGTGCAAAGAACAGCAGGGGTTGAGCTCTTCCTTTCTGGGAGCATTGCATATTTGTGTAGTTCTACGCATAACATGAAGCGTACTTTCACGCAGCCAGGAATTGCAAATTGTATGTGACCAGAACGCATAATGCATAATGATTGTTTGAATCCTGACATATTTACTGACTGTGCCAGAGCAAGCAAGATGAAGTGATTCTGGACAACGTAGGCTATGCTACCAGTGGCCACTTCACTGTGAATTTGTGGATTCGGTATCGCCGGAAAGCCATTGACGACGATGCATCATATGAGTTCGTTTTCTCTCACACAGAGCCTGGAGCGCAGGCCTCTGGAAGCGGCGCACAGGTGTGCTTCCCAAAAGAGGTTGTTCAATGAGGTTTCTGGAATCCATGTGGCTGCGAGATTACATCAGTGCATCCAGTTGTGAGGCCTGACTATGGAATTCAATGCAAGACTATTGTGAAGATACGAGCCCTGAAACCCCAGCTCAGCGTCAGCTGGCCAGCTACAATTGTTGTCATTCCCTTCTATCTGGATTCCAAAGACCCTGTCCTTTCTATGATCTAATGGTATGCATGGCGCAGCCTCTGACTTGCCTTTCAACTTGCCTTGCAGATCGAACTCTACATGCCTGGCCCTGGAAACCCTCAACTGTTGGGGCGCATTCAGGCTCTTGTTAAAGATTCTGATGATTCAAATGACGGCGCATCGCCTGGGAAAGCAGGAACTTCCGATTTGGATGCTTCTTCCAATGGCAGCCTTCTCTCCAAGGAAAATTCAAGCAGCGTCACAGACGGGATTTGGCACATGATTACCGTCTCCAGCCACGAGGCTGGTACACACGGATATCGATTATTCGTTGACGGTGTGCTGGTGGGAGAGAAGAAAGGAGAATCGAATGTGAGATCCACTGCTGCTCCCTCGTGTTCTGGCCAGATGGAGAGTTAACAGGCTGTTAATAACTGCTAATAACAGCACTGCGTTGTAAATATTGTGCACTGCAACAGGGTACAAAATTTGTGCCGGGACTCTCGCAAGGGTCTCTCATGGGCAGCTTCATAGTGCAGTAGCCAATTGGCGATGTGGGCAGGCGCATAGTAATCAACTCGGAATTTCGTAACCCTCCACAATGTTTAGCACACCGAACAGTTGTGGCTTCTTGGCATGGACTCTTGGGTTGTGTTTGACCACTTTTGCATCGCCATCTCTACAATGTTCGAACGTTGATGCACAGGTGCCTGGTGGCGATCCCATCGACATTGAAGGGAAAATTCACCTCTGCGGGCGCTCCGACGGCAACTCTGATGTGCATTTCGATGGCAGTGTAGCCCATTTGGCGCTGTACAACAAGGCACTGGGGCAGCAGGAGATACTGGCCCTGTATGAGGAGTTCGTCCTTGTTTCAAACGGCATACAAGTAGCCCACCCAACGCGCGCCACGACGACAGGAGAGCCATGCGTGTTTCCAGGCATCAGCGGGTGCGTCAGTCTCACTGCAGACGGTCTTCGCTACTTTTTGCGGTGCCTCATCGCATAGGAAGATGAGCTGTCCATTTATTTTAACACCGATTGCAGTTTGGAATTTGTTTTGTTCAGCCGTGCCTTTTGAATTGGTGTGAAGACTAAAGGCATTAGCCCTTTGACTGGTACAGAAGGTTACAGCGGATTGGATTAGAAATCGGCACTCGAGCGGAGCTTGTGCCACCTTATGCCGCACATGAACTTCCATTTCGAAAGTCTCCAACTGCGGGGCTCCGCCGTGTGTATTTTCAAAGATTTATTGTGCTTCCCTTGTGCTTGTGATTGTGGCACATTCAGTGGTTGCAGCACCGCGCTCACTCGCACCCAGGTTGCCTGCCACCCAGCACCATTTCTGGGTGAGGGTACTTGCTGAACATGTGAAATGTCGTGGTGCTCACAGAGGCAAGCTGGTTGTCGACTGCGTTCCTATCAACGGCGTATTGAGCTGCCCAGTGAAGGATGGCACCTGGGTGGAATGCAAAGCCTTCAACCGGTCAGCCGAGGCTTTTGCAGAGCTGGACAAACCATCGGTTCCTCAGGTCAGATATGCAGCGGTGCCAGCCTGGTGCAGTTCTTGTGGTTGTATCTGGAGCACAAGGTGTCTTCCATTTAGGGGAACACCTCCACGTCGCAAACCCATCGACAACGTCGGAGCCATTTACTCCTGCTTGCTCCCTTGCTGTCGATTTGATTGCCTTGGCGCGATACCGTATTTACCCGGTATTAGTAGGCGTGTATTGGACCCCGAAAATGAGCAGGGGATACTAACAGTGGGTCATGTATACTAACGCGGTTTGGACCTCTGTTCCCAAGGAGTAGACAAAGAAAACTTTTGACAAATAGGCCGTGAAATGCCCAGAAATGAGCAAAAATGACAATGCTATTACTGAACGTTGTCAGCCTCTTCACGGGAGTTACGCCGGGCGGTTGCACTTGGGGCTACACCAGGTGGAGGCGACTGGCGATTGGGGCCAACAGGGGTTCGCTGGAATGCTGGAGGCGCGTTTGTCTCTGCAATGCAGAGAATGAGGACCGCCATGGGTCTCGACTCGCTGGGGCGCCACGTCGCGATGATAGGCTTCACACGCGGCGTTTTCCCAGGCTGATGGCGGCTGGGATGGCTGATGGGATCTTTGATTGTGTATGTGGCCTGGTAGCCAATGGGATGTGCGAATTGGGGTTTGGGTCCGGCCTTCGCAGCCTTCTTAGGGCAGTTTTGTGATGCGGTGTCTCACAACGGCGGCCGCCCTGACCAGCACCGTTGCCTGCTCATTCCTGGCGCTGGGTCTTGGGGCTCCCTTGGCAGCTGCCAGGCTGGAACCTGCTCTGGCCGGCTGGGGAGCAGGTTGACTAAATCCAGAAACTAAGGCAGCTTTAATTTCTCGACCGCTCCTTTGATCGGGCCCCGCGGCATTGGTCACTGCCCTGCGATCCTGCGTTGAGAGTGCCAACAGCGGGCAGTCGACCATGCGGCCTTTTTACAGGCCCCCTTCCAAATTCTTCCTCGACAGCATCCACCCCGGCCCGATCGTCCCCGTCGATGCGCGAATCGCAGGGAACCTGGTTTGGTCCTGTCTGGGCAGCGCGCTCCAACACCGGTCGCACACTTCCCTTACCACCATCAGCCCCTTCGCTCGTTTCTGTCTGTGTTTGGGGGTGGATACTAATACCGGGTCATGGATATTAACGTGGTTTCGACCCCCAAAGAGGGGGATGGATACTAATAAGGGGTGCCTACTAATACCGGGTAAATACGGTATGTGTTCACGGCACTCGATGCCACAACTTCAATGTCCCACGCATCACCGACGCATACTTCAGTCGCTTCAAAACTGTGTCTCCATTGAAGTGCATTTTGCAGATGAATGCCCGTGTATTGCTTCGAATTAGAAGCTTTGTAAGGCGCTCTGGTGAGCGCCGTTGTATGTGCTCTGAAGATGCTGGTTCGTCTGCAGGGAGTCACTCGGACTGTGACCGGGGAGGTTTGCCGTTTCCCATCAAAATTTGGCGGCAAAGATGTCTACTCTTGTGTGAAAATCGACGGAATTCCGAAATGCAATGTTGGGAATGGGCAGTGGAAACGATGCGCTTCAAAGGTACTTGCTGGAACACGGGATCTTTCAGATACCCTCTTCTGTTAGATACATCTGGTGCACGTGCAGTTTCAGTGGTGGTGTGCATTGCAGACCAGGGAGAATAATGTGCGATAAAGTTTGTCTCGTCGAAGCTGCGGGTGAATTTTCCAACGGCTTGTTGAGCTTCCTGTGATGCATGTTGATACAGTTCTTTTCGCTCATTTTCTCTTTTGTTTTAGAAGCCTTCCATGGCTGTTTGACTGACCAGTTCCACATATGCTCACAAGAGAAGCATACGTTGAAATGCCGCGTTCCTATTGGTGCACTAGGGTTGAGTAATTTTTAAGTACTCGTGCAACGGCGATTTTGCGGTTGAAAAGAGCTAGATAAGAGACATGGATGCCAAAATATGTTGCTTAAAATGGAAATCGTTCATAGGGATGCTGGAAGGGTCCCAAATTGCACATTTTTGATGGCATACATCAAGCAAATTGCATTGCATTTGCCTTGTAGATGGGATGGCGAATTCCTCGTGCGCTTGTTCTCAGTGTTCTTCGGCTTTGGTCCAGGGACACATAAGATTCACGAAGCAAGGAGCTCGGTGTGTATTCCCATTCACGTATGAAGAGAAAATATACGTGGATTGCGCAGTCATCAACAGGGTCGAGTCCTGCATGGTTGCCAATGGCAACATTTATCCGTGCGCTGGCACTTCACTGGGATCAGATGGGGCCAGCGTGGGGCCTGATGATGTGGACGATGTTCCACATCCTGATGAGGCAATCACTAGAACTACGATCGACAGAAAAGCATGTATTTTCCCATTCTGGCATGAAGGTGCGGATCCGATGCCGAAATGCTGACTAGACGTAGTGCTTACAGCGATCTTTCTTAGCCGTTGAACTCCTGCATTTAAGCTGGAAATGTGAGCGTATGCACGGTGCATCTTGGCCATTTATTCACTTTCCAAGTTGTGAATGAACAAGATTTGCTGTGAGGTACTTCGTCAACAGGACGTGGGACATTGATTGCCCTGCAGTAGTGCCATCACAACCCAATTCAGGGTTGTGATATTTCGGTGCATACACAAGGAATTGAAAGTAGCAGCACACGTCACTGGAAGGCAGGCCTCCAAACAGTGTTGAATCCGAATATCTTGAATACTCGTGTACTCGCCAAACTGCAGTCCTGTTGCCTGTTGCACTGTTTTATGCACACAACGACTGGATGCGACCACAGTGCTTTCGCAACACACGTGGTAAAGAACAACACGTGGTGTGTTGTGGGTGATTACTGACAGGCTTGGTCTTTGCGACGTGAAAACTGGACGTATTTACGTCTTTACACGCGAAAGTAGTTTTTACGTTGTTATGCGTCAAAATACATAAATTACGTAAACACAACGTAAATGCGGCTCCGTGTACACAAGGACAATACGCACAGGGTTAGGAATCCGGGGAGTGGCGGTCGGACGCGCTGGAATGGGTAGACAACCAACTTTTGTTCCATGCCGTCGTTGCTCTCGCCGAGGGCAAGGTGGGCACTGTGTTACGGGTGCTGGAGATGGCAGAAGACTGACCATTGTACGCAACTTTCATCGTGTAACCTGGCTGTCCCAGCGAGCCGCCAAAACGTAGAAACAGCCGTAAAAATATCTTCTTTCGCAAATTTACGTTTTTACGCATAGAAAATTGGCGCAAAAACGTTAACGTAAACGTAAAGACCAAGCCTGGTTACTGACATCTCTTCTGCCTGGGTTGTGCACCAGGCAAGTCGGTTGCTGGCTGCGTCATCGATGGCCAATCCCGTACCTGCCCAGTAGCAGGTGGAGACATGAAGCAGTGCAGCAATCTCATCTTCACATTCCAGGATAAAGATGACCAATTTCACGGGGATTAACACGCGTCGTGTGTGCAGAACTGCTGCTGGTGTGTACGAGGAGTGTGTTGGACCGCTGGTGAATGGGAATGCACTTCCTGACATCCTGCTGGCAGGACGGGTGACCGTTGGAGGCGACAAGTGTACACTGCCATTTTGGCATGGGGTAAGTGGCTGGCAATGCACTAATCACTAAACTGATGTACAGAAAATAGTTTCAAAAGCAACATATATCCGTCAGAATGTCCTCAACATGGTTCGCTGGCTGTCTGGCATCTGTCGAACGGGACCAAATTTCGCAGGCGTCTTAGGGCAATGGCTGCCAGCGGATTGGTGCACTTCCACTTGTGTCCCCCATGCCCTGCATTCTGTGGATGCAAGTGCACACTGCGTGGCGTCATGTTGCTCCGCAGAAAAAGTCATCTTCCCACATACAAGGGCTTCCATACAACAAGATGGCGGTGCAAATGCTGCTGCGTTTTCTTTTGCATGCCTTGCACGGAAATTGTGTGCATCTCGGAGCCCAAGCGAGGATGTGCAAGTGCGAGAGAGTGTTGGTAAAAGCGGTGGTTTGTTAACAACCCATTGTTGGTTTCCACAGAAACGCCTCGTCCGTGACTGCATCGTTGTGGACTCGGTTGAAAAATGCAAGGTCGAGTCTGGCGAGCTTGTTGAATGTGCTCCCAGGCGCACTACGACTACGGGAGACCAGTGCTCGTTTCCTTTTGAGCACAATGATGAGCAATACGACGACTGCATCAAAATAAATGGGACAGAGAGTTGCATCACAATGACTGGCAGCATTGAGGAATGCGCTCCACTCCAAGTCCTTGCTGTCCTGTGTCATTGTTTCCTTTGAAAGGCACATTATTGCCTGTTGATGGGCGTGACAGGTGCAGGACAAAGAAGGGAGACTGGGAAGAATGCTCGTGGCAAGGAGTGGCTGAGGAATTTGAGGAAGCAACCAAAATTGTACCAGGAAGAGTGACCACCTCCAACGAGCCATGCGTGTTCCCATTTTGGTATCGGGGCGCCCTGACGACCACATGTGCAGAGGCTGATGGAGAGCCTCACTCGGGATTTTGCATGACAGCAGAGGGTTATCCAAAGGAATGTAAGCCGCCTCGGTTTACAAAGAGTGGCAAAGAGTGTTCCTTCCCATTTCGCCACGAAGGCGTTGTTTCGTACGACTGCATTGACCGCAATGGAACAGAAGTGTGTGTGACAGCTCAAGGCGATTTTGAGGTGTGTGACACACCCAAAGCCCCAGAGTACCACCAACACAAAGAAAACCATGAAGACAGTGCTGGAAAGATTGTCAGCAGGGTGACAGAAGAAGGCGAAAGCTGTGTTTTTCCATTCTGGCACCAAGGTGGGTTGTTCTAATCATGCAAGATTCTGGAATGCATGTGAGCATTCCACTGTTATATAGTGGTGTACGGTGAGCGTGATGATGGATACATGGATCTGCTACCTTTGAGTGTTTAGATGTGCCGCCCGTACACAGCGATGTACTCTGAATTGAGGGCTCCTCGTGCTGGTTCAGCGAAGTGGGCTGGCTGCTGCCCTTGAACATTATGCCACGCAGGGGGCGTTCCAGGATGAGCAATAAAAGCCACATGAAATGCATTGCGCTGATCCTGTGCAGCTTGGGTTCAGAGTACATTTATCACCTTCTGGAAGCTGTTACTCCTCTACAGTGAGTTCTGCTTTGCATACTGAATCGCGTGTTTGTCCCATTCCAGGGAAATCCGTTGCCAGCTGTGCAAACATTGGTGGCTACGACAGCTGCCTGAATGGCCTTGGGAACCTTGTGCGCTGCACGCCTCTCATGCAGACAGATGCCGGTCAGCCCTGCGCATTTCCTTTCCACGAATCAGGTGAAGCGCATACCAAGTGCCTGGCCAGAGGTGACAGGAAGATGTGCAAAATAGGCACTGGAGAATGGGCAAACTGCACCATTCCATTGTCTGCAAACGATCTGCCAACAACTTTGCTGGCTGGGCGAGTGACTGTGGATAACCAGAAATGTGCCTTTCCGTTCTGGTACCGAGGGAAGCTTGAGAGTAGGTGCATTGATGGAAGGTGTCCAAGCAGTAGCGGTGAATGGATTGACTGCCGGCCAGAGCAATTCACCATTTCTGGAAGGTTGTGCTCTGTGCCGTTTACTTTTGGTGGTGAACAGCACTCTGAATGCATTTCAGTCGATGGAAAGCCACAGTGCATGACGGCAGAAGGCAATCTAGAAGAGTGCTCAACCACTTCTCAGACAGAGACAGCGGAACGGGCAACAGTGGATGAGACTTTGGATTTGGGTAGCCAGATACTCAGCCGTGTCACTGTGGATGGCGAACAGTGTGTATGGCCGTTTTGGTACAAAGGTCGGTCAGTTGGGCAATGTGTCCAAATTGATGGTGAAGAGAAATGCCCCACAAACACAACAGAACTCAAACAATGTGCACCCCTCATTCCAACCGCCTTGGGCAGTGTATGTGCCGTTCCATTCATGGATGACCAAGGGCAAATGCGAAAGGAGTGTGTGAATAGAGGTGGCAGGCGAATGTGCAAAGTGCAAGATGGCACTTGGGACGAATGCATAGGCATCAGCGGACAGCCCACCCAAGTGGATGGGTCAGCAGTGTTGGCTGGACGTGTCACTGTTGATGGTGATGCCTGTGCATTCCCCTTCTGGCATGAGGGTGTCCTGGTGACTACATGTGTGACAGACTCTGCTGGCAACAGCTCAGGGTGGTGCCGAACTGGGTCAGGCAGAAAAGCAGACTGTGCCCCAATCCAAACCACAGTGCGGGGATCTCAGTGCTCTTTCCCATTCAGCCACGATGGCTTGGCCAGCACCAGCAAATGCATCAATATCAACGGCGAGCTGCAATGCAAGACAGCCCTTGGAGATTTTGAAGAGTGTGCGGACCTCCAGATTGCGTCATCAGCAAGTACCATTATCAGCCGTGTGACGATCGAAGGGGATCAATGCCTCTTCCCATATTGGTACCAAGGTACGCTTCAGCGTCGCGCGCATTGGTGCTGTGTTTTTAATCTGTGGGATACTCTTCTGGAGCGGTTGTTGTAATGGTGGCGCCTAAGTAGGCACTGACTGCGTGTGTGCAGGCCGATCTATTGCTGATTGCGTTTCAGTCAACGGAATTGAAAGCTGTCCCACCAGAGCTGGAATGAGGCCGTGCCGGCCTCTCACAAGCACTGCAAATGGGGGCATTTGTTCTTTCCCCTTCCCTGGCGATGACGAAGTGATGCATTATTCCTGTGTGACGAGGAATGACACGCAGAGCTGCAGAACAAGTGACGGTAAATGGGCGGAATGCACACAACGCCCAGTCCCAGAAGGAGCGGTTCATGGAACAACAAAGCTCATGACGGGCCGAGCTACCATTGATGGAGAGCAATGCGTATTTCCGTTCTTCTTTGAGGAGAAAGCCGTGATTACCTGCGCTGGTAGGTCGAAAAAGATGCCCAACGGGCAGTGCATCACCAGAGATGGTGCTATGAAGGAATGCGCCCCCGTTTGGATGACCTCACAAGGGGACTATTGTTCGTTCCCTTTCACGGTGGCTGGCAAAGTCCATCACCAATGTGTGCCATTGGGAGGGAAAGACGTCTGCAAGACCGCTGATGGAAGTTTTGCAGAATGCAAAGGCAAGGTCAGAATTTTATCGGAGCTTGACGGCAGTGCATCTGGCTCCAGCTCGAGCGCCACCATTGGGGTAGCAATCGGATCATCAGTAGCAGTGGCAATTGTGGCGGTCGCAGCGATTGGAATTGTCGTGTACGCCAGGAAGAGATCAGGATCCAGGAAGGACACAGCATCGATGGGGACTTTCAAGAAATTCCAAGATCAGCAGGTAGCGTGGTGGGGATAATTTGATGATGCCTTTCTTGGCTATTGCTTCCCTGCATTCCTGTGCAGATGCAAGTGCTGAATGCGA